AAATAATGAGTGGTTCATGATAAAAAAAATCACCCTGTATAATGTGACATTAGCAACAAAAATTTTATATTAAAATATATTATGCAATTTCAATATTTTATCATACCATTAAACGATTGGTGTTTAAGGATTTGTGTGTGGTCCATTTGCGTTATATCAATAAGTTTATGAAGAGTAGAAATTGCCATATCTAAATCAAATCCATTAGTATCATCATTACTTATTTTTTCAGACTGGAAAAGCCCAAAATTAACGTATCCAGAAGTAGATGGACAAACAAATTTATCATTTTCCAATGGTTTATTTTTGAAACCATACTCGTCTGAATAGAAGCTCTCATTATGTTCATTTAAATTTTTTGGATAAATTGAGTTATTAGATATAGTGCGACCAAATTTCTTTTTTCTAATTTTTTCCATATTTCTTTGATAATATGATAGTGATTTTACAGATATTTCTGGTGAACTAATTGTTCGAGTTAACTTTGGTTTTGAATATTTATGTGAAATATTTAATGGTTTATGTTCCATTTTACTTTGTTCTATTTCACATGATTCAAAAAATGATGTACTGCTACAGCTACTGACAGAAGATCTGGAAAGGGATGAAACTTGGTGTCCGGAAATATCAAAACACTTATTAACAATACACATTTTAGAGTGATCGCTAGAAAATTCAGTTTCCCAGCACATGTTTGATGATAATTGAGTTGAATTATTGTTTTCTCTATGTTTTACATTCTTATTGCACATATGATCATATCTTTCAACCACAATCAAAATAGAAATAAAAATTTCATAAAAAGATATTGGAATCAGTGGTTCCTCCGAGTTTAAAAAATAATCCTTGATTACAGAGTAAACATCGGCTTTAAATCCAGGGTAAGTACACTCATTCATTTCCGGATCTAAACAAAAAAAATAACAAATTATCAAACAATAATGAATTTATTTTAATTTAGATAGGTACACTAAACTTTTGAAAATATTTGTTTTTTAAATTTATGCAGTATATTATAGTATTATAACTTGTATTATACAATATATAATTGAATAATACCAAGCGTTTTAGAAGTCAAAAAGCACTTTAAGTAGTTTCTGTATATTTATAATCTTGTAGTATTACATAGACTTACATCATTGAGGATGAAACTATTAATTTTTAATTGAAAACTAGTTTAACATATTAACTAATAAATAATAATATAGTTATTTTTAGGATTGCGAGTATTTGGCCAAAATTATGAAGGTTCAATGTTGAAAGCATTTATAACATACCCACCAAATAATTAATAATTGTAGTAGATACTACAATATTGAATAAAATAGAACAGATAGTCATTAAAAGTTATTAGGACATAATTAATACACAATCAATTAATATAGCCTTGGTAATGTACTAAAAATATACATTAATCGGTACATATTATCTTATATGATGAACTTTCATTAAAAATTGTTATTATTGGTTCCATATTTGTAAAATATCTTACATAGATACGTTAGGTATATGTATATTATAATTTGCAATTATAAATTAATACATGTTTTAATCAAATTAAGACAATAAACAAAGTATTAATGTTTAAATATTATTATTTATGCATAAAATATTATAGTTACCAGATGTCAAACTATCCATTGCAGACTTCACCCATTGAGGAAATAAGCCATCAGCGTTATAATCTTGATTATAAATATTCATAATTATCCACTGCTTATTTAAATTTTCAGTATTTAAAAAATCATCCATATTAAAACTTTTTAAAATATTCTGCAAACTATAAATCAACAAACAACATATAAGGTATTTAAATTTATATATTTATAAATAACATTAAACATACTATTTTATTCAGAATTAAATTTATTTATTCTTAAAACCTTAGATATCAATAATAATGGGGGTTGGCAATTAATTTTTAAGAGGGTCTGGGGGATTTGAAAAATTATTTCCAAAGTTTAGAATACCTTAATAAAATAATGGAAAAGAAATCAGCATCATATCAATATTATTTTTGGGGTATCAATTACTTCCTCTCATTAGTTGCCTATGGTTAACAGATGTAATACACTTCTAAAATTGTACTGTATTCCATACAATATTGTATTTTTTATAAAAAAAATTTAAACTTAATTTTAGAGTAGTAGGCAGATTTGATTAAATAAATAGTTAAAATTTTAATTAGTTGAATTGGTTATTTTAATTATCAACCATTAACACGGTAACCAAATAATTTAAAAGAAAATATATTAAAGATAGTATAAAAAGTAAAACTGGTACACCTATACTCCAGCCACTGAGAAACTGCTACTGGAGGGCTCCCAAATCTTGTCCATCCTAGCGTGTTCCCACCACCAAATCTCAAGTTCTGCTGGCAGTCGTCACAGTTACTGACGCTGCTACGATTGCAAATAGGGGTATTTTGCATGGTGAATAGGTAGTAGAGTGAGAGAAAAATGGATACAAAACTGCGGAACTTATTCATTTGGATGCGCCAAGAGGTAGCGCTCTCTTAGTAGCCAGAGTTTATACTACCTAAATGTATTATAAGAATAATTAATAAATATTTACTTTTGTATAATGAAATTAGCGATTTTATGATTTTCATTTAAATAAGTGTTCATTGCCACATTTTCCATTGAATAAGACTTCATTCTATGACTACTAATAACTTTTTCACTTCTCTTGGGTTGAGGAGACAACGATTKAGGTTTATTCATGAGGAATACATTCAATGATGACAATACAGATCCTTTACTGATTGTTTTATTCATAGTCTTTGGTAACGCAAATCTAAAACAGTTATATTAAATATTATTAGGTTATGGTTAATATAAGTCACAAGATTAAAATATAATTAGATTTAAGTTTTTGAATTAGTACAGTTAATGTTGATAAAAATGAATAATAAAACATCTAACTTTTAACTATTTTACAAAATATGTATTATTGAAAAAAAAATAAGTAAGAACTTATAAGGTATGATTTATGAAAATATGTAAAAAAAAAAATATTGAATAATAGAAAAATTTAAAAACATCTTAAATAATACCTAACAGTTGTCTCAAATTATTTTCTTATCCTTGGTTATATATAAGTCTCGTATTAGCTATATTTGAGTGACAAAAGTATACAATTCAAAAAATATAAAACTTGATTTACATTTATCTCCCTTTAGATTCAAGTTATTCAAGTAATAATTATTTTAGTGTATTATCAAAAACTAAAAAAAGGTAATCTTTATAATTTATAAATTTGATTCTTAGTTAGTTTTTAGTAAGACCATTTAAAAACTAAAATACTCACTCATATAATTCTGACTTATCCTTAAATTTTGTTGATGTTGAACTTACAGCTTTGAAAATATCAGCCTCATAAAATTTATTCATTAATGCTATTATTTGTTGACGTGTAACTCCTTTATTAAACAAATATTGTAATTTCCCAGAAGATGCTTCATTAAACATCCAATCAACTGCTTCATATCCCGTGAAACAGTTATCTCTAAACCAAAGTTGATATCGGTGTGATTTTAATGGCATACCACTTCTGAAATGGTCGACTAATGCTTGCCACTTAAAAAAACAATTAAGCCATTAGGTAACAATATACATAATTGACAAGTTAAACTTACAGTTTCCGTAGCTCGGAATTGAGAATATGTTGGTAAGTTTGGAATATTTGAATAATTTGACATTTTAAAAGGTAGATATGAGAACCAAGGTGTTTTAATTTAAACTGTAAGCCTACACAATGTATATAATTATCCTCAATACAGTGTAACACGTAAACGTCGATTAATCATATCGGAAATCGAATACATTTAAAAAAAAATTATTTCCGACGTTTCGTTAGAACAATTATGAAAACAATACACACAGATATTATACAATGCCTACAAMMWTTAAAAAAAAAAAAACGTTACACTTGTCGTACATTCGTACACCCGTTGTCTTGGCGTTGTCAACAATAACAATGATAATAACAGGCRGGCGTTCTGCGCATGCTTAAACAGCAGCTGGTGGTGAATGTGCTGGTGGAACACTTGAACCACAAAACAATTTAAAATTAAATATTGAGGCATTTAACGTGACGTGTTGTTACAATATTCTATGTTTTTATTCTCCGAGGCAGATAGCGCTGAAGATATCTCACTGGCTTTTGATTTTATAAATTATAAAGTTATCAAGTTATGACGCGACTATACAAAGTGTCCCGCGAGGATTTCCCATTGCGATATCTTCTGAGATAATAATTTTTTTTTTTTTGATTAGGCTCAGAAAAGGGCTACGTGTATTTAATTTTCTTGTTTGGTAAAAAAGTAAAAAAATTATTTTTTAATTTTTGAAAAAAAAAAAAATCAATTTTTTAGAGTTTATTTTTCTGAACATTTTGATCTTTCAACATTTCATCATCATTAATCTCATGGTTTTTAATAATTTTATTAGTTTATAGATAAAACTTCACAAAACTGTTTTTATCCGTGCGGCGAGTCCTCCTCTACAGCTAATGGGTATAATATCCTCATGGGAAACTGTATACAAAACTATCATAATAAGCATAGTATCAATGCATCATGTATTCATGTGATTCATTTCCGACTATAATTACTTAATTACRTTTGGATATTTATTATTTTACTATTTAGCTCTATTATTGAGCTGTAACGACTAACGAGTAACCACAATTCGCTATGACGTGTATAATATTTCAATTATAAATATTCATATGTTAACTGTATTTTGAGTACCTACCACYAGTTGTTGTAGAGTTTATTATCATTACCATATAATTTACATTAATGCGAGTAGGTATTGTGACTAGTGACAAATTGACWACTAGGTATATTGGTATATATTTATATACACAATCTACTGGCTACTTGTTACGACACAATATACCAAATTATGTTAGGATAATTATAAACTTGCCTCTACAAAACTACAAAGTTATAATATTATCGATATACATATTATACATGTAAATCGTTATCGTATATTTATGTTTATWAAGTGTATTATAGAGTGTACCTATACTCATATACTRGCAGKTTATTAGAGACRTATTTACGGGATGGCCTATCGAGTGGTGAGTATAATGCCACCCAAAGAATAAAAATAAAATGTTTACATTACAAAATAYTAATATATTAACAATATAATAGGTATTTAAGTATTTTGTATTGGTTTTCTATAATGACGTAGATGTAGGTATTATAATATTTGTATATATMAATACAATATATGAATGAGTATCATACATTTTGACACTTTTTTAATAAAAAAATGTAGTACTTTTGGTTTCAAACGARGATTAAAGCAAAATACATGCTAAAAAACGACAATATTTACGAAATTCTTATGTTTGATAAAATCGATTTTACTTTTTCTTGTAAATCAAAAACGAATTATGATAAATATTAAATACTTAAAAACTTTACAAAATATTTAATATTTTTAGTAGAAATTTTCAGTCTTGATCATAACATAATATAATATAATTCTCAAAATAATTCGAGCTGTAGGTACCTACTATAGCTTTTTTGAGTTATATGTAGACATTTAACAATTTTTATGTTTTTACTTTTTTTTATATTAAATGTTGATAAAAATRTTATGTTCGTTCGAAACATAAAAAAGTTTGAATATTATAAAACAAGAATTCTCAAATATTTATTTAACTTTTATTCATAATATCAATCATACTTATATACCTACCTATACGTAATTTTTTTATTTTTAGCACTAATTTAAATTCCACATTTTGACAGACAAGATTACAAATATACAAATTATAACATACATGCGATTAAAAATGTATATTATATTCAACTAATATGATTTTGAAAAATTGAACACAAGGTTCCTCGTAATTTTTTCTTGTCGCAAACCTAAAAATATAGGTACCTATGCAATTCTTWTTATAATAARCTATTCARGTTTGTAATCACCAAATTTCATATCATATAAATGAAATATAATAGTTTTGATTTTTAGTTATTATTTTATCGTAGGTATAAAGGTGTAACATAAAAAATATTATTCATTATTAGGACTTGAAACTATTTTACCACTACTTTTAATATTATTTAACATAATCCATAGACAATATTTTAATTAAATGCAGTAGGTGATAGTTTATTTACATTGAAAACCCTAGTCTGAAGTAAAGACCTAATTATTAATATAGGTAGTACTGTATTAGAAGGTGCCTAAACAAAACTAGCATAAAATTGTAGAGCAACAATTTATATAATAATTAAAAACCCGTTTATTATTAATAATATTATTATTTTTAATTTAAAGAAAGAATTGTTGTTGTAGTTCTATTATCCAAGGTAACTATATAGATTACACCAAGATCATGTTCTAGCTAGCGGTCAATTGTATTGCTGTTATGACCTCATGGCTCATAGTCTTATCGGATCTATAATAAAATACAAATTTTAAAAATCAACAATTTTAATTAATATATGGTAGGTAAAATAACTAATAATTATGTATTGCAGTTTATATCAATTTATTACTACATATMTTTATAATTGGACTTAAATAATATTATACAGTAACTAGCGAGTAACAATATTAATTTAAAAAAAATTGAACTTGAGTTATTGGGGTACAGAAGTGCAAATATATTAACAATCCATTTATACCTATACGTCAATAGTCAATGTACAAATTAATAATTCATAAAAACGTCGAAGATATTTTTAATCGAACCATTACAAATAGTTACAACTATTTTAGTAACTATAGTAGGTATCTGATATTTCACTGGCTCACTGCTGTTATTTTATTAACGTATATTTCGCTTAAAAAATATCAGGTATACATTATTGGTATACTATATAATTAACAAAATAGGAATATAATATCATATATGATATTAATTTAAAATAATATCGTAAGAGTTTGTTAGTAGTTTAGTACCTACTCGCGATAGCATGAAAAYGTGAAACGTCTTATTTTATTACCGAATGGTACCGATATCTAATTATTATGGATAATCAAAATTTGACGYGTAGTTTTATCAAATCCATCTGGATTTTATTTGACCAGCTGGACATAATTTTAAAATTCCTGATAAAGTAATCTGCCGAGTTAGGTACTTCTCCTCCAGTCTCCACCGGATTGAAGAAACACTGAAATTAGGAACATTTGAGTCTATAGCGGCTGACAAAGTTTCGGAATTTCCATGATATAGAGTACCTATAGGCTATAGGCTATAGTTAAGTACATCATCCTGTATTCATGTTTATTGTTGTGGACTTATATAGCTATTATTGTATGACTTTAACCTTAATGGCTGAATCAAAATTAGATATGTAGCTATATTTAAGTATGAGTTTATTTTTAATTAAATAAGTAGCAAAGTATAATTATTTTATACTTATCGGCTAAGCAAATTGCAAATGCACAATTTTATATTTGAACTACCTGTATATATTTTAAATTGAATTCAGTAAAATGATAAATGTAAATGTAAATGAATAAAAAACTTGTTATTGTTATTTTATACAGTACTGACATARTGGCATAAACAATAGGGGAGAGCAAAGCCGTGCCGTTAAAATTTGGCGCCCAGGGCAAAATTATAAATATTTGYCTTCTTAAAGTTTAAAATGTTATAAAAAAAAATTTTTGGCCCCCCTTTAAACGATGTGCCCTGGGCGTATGCCCCCTAGCCCCCCTCCACGGCATGGCTCTGGGGGGATGGTAAAACCCCTTAATATTTATCGAAAGCGAAAACGCRTCACATTATACATCTCTATGAGTATAGGTACACGTCATGTGCAAAAATATGTACTTTTGTTACTGCTTTTAAAAACAATTCAGATTGTTCCGCCTGCGTTGGGAAAARTTGAATCTAAGTTTTATTTTCTTGCGTAGATCCGGTATTAGAAAACACATAAAAAATAACTYAGAAATAAATGAATATAAATATAATATACACAAATTAAATACCTACCTATAATTAGACAAATTATTATGTATCAGTAGGTATTCAGTAAGAAAAACAATCAACTATAGTCTATAATAGTATGATGCTCATATATTTATGCGACGAATGTATTTTATCTACTTACTCGTTACTATARTGTATTATGATAGCCGATAGGTAGGTACATTGACTACGTATTATTTATGTTTAACGTAAGATGCGGACACCGGTCAGCATACTAATTTTTACCAATTTAGATAGTTATGGCCAAACACCAATTTAAAAGAATAGATATCTATCCAGCTAAATAATACTAATAGATAATATAGCAAGATTAAACATTTGTTTTTCAGAAACTTAAAAATATAATAAAACTAGATATATTATTATGGCACTACTTTAGTTATTATAGACAAACMATTATAATTTTCAATGTAATTTCTTTTATTAGGTTTATATATACACGTTATTAAATATAATATAATTATAAGATGTAATTATTTATTTTTTAGGTAAGTACCTATCAATATTATATATATATATATATATAATATACCAATAATACCTATCTGAATACAATAAAATGTCTGCAACCGGAGCGGAGTGGTATATTTTAGGTACCTATGTAAAAGTCCTTGCGTTACTCATTCAATTCTACTACCTATTTCAATTTCGAAGTGAACTTGGGCCACCCTACCATCATTTAAAAAAATTAGAAATACTATTTGTAATTGTGACTGTGTAGAGAACGAAATAAGAAATACCTAGTGTAATATTATATAGCCTGCTAGATATTGGCCATTTTTAGGCATCAGCTCTCTTATAAACTATAATAATCTAGGTATATGCAATACGTTGTATAGAAGATTGCGTTAAATGCTATTATAATAAAAACAATATTATTATTACATTTAGCTCTATAAAATGCGTTCAATCCGATTTTGCGTCGTAGTTTGCTATATTATCATTG